TTAACAGTATCCTATTATAATCACCTCGTCTGCTCAGAAGCAGGTGGTATTACCTGTCAACGGGGTTTTGGACATTGCAAATAGCCGTTGCCCACCTCAGCTGAGGCTCCCGGGCAGATAAAGTGACCAAAGGAGGCAACCCTCCGGAGGCCTCAGAATCTCATTTTCATTCCCCTTGTGGGAAAGAGACTGACTTTATTGACAAAGACGACTGAAAATTGCTTGAGCGTTCCAATAACCAGTCTGCGTTGAAGCAGAGAGACAGTCTGGCGGAGGCGAGCTCCCTGCTCCGTGGCAGCTCGGCTGAGCCACGCTGCGCTGCGTACCAGCCTGCGCATATGCAGACCAGACTGGAAGGAGCCTCCCGACGTCCTCAGAAGCAGCCCCTCTCCACCTCCACTCCCAGCCTGCTGCTGCCTTTCCTGGATCCCAACCATAAATCAACATGAATTCAGGGAATCTCTGCCAGAAACCAAATTCGTGTAGGCCGATTCAGGGACCCAGAGGTCGGACCTGGGTTAGCTTGACAAGGCTCATGTCCCCCTTCCCACTGGAGGGCTCTGGGGCTTGAATGCACCTTCCAGGGAAGCCACTAGATGTCCCCACTGTGGATTCCTGTCCTTATTCCCAGGGCCCGCCTAGAAGTCAATACCAGGGGCTAAGGGAAGTCTATACAGAATCCCATCACTACCTGGACGGCAGGGCTGCCTTAGACGCTAGGACGGTCTGAGCTCCTCGGCAGGCTTCTTCTAAACTAGTCAGTGGCTCAGACCCCAAACAGCTGAGCTGGAAGTAAGTATGAGCGTTATTAGCTAGAGTAGCCCCTAACTCTCACAACAGCTGCTCTTCCTCCAATCTGTCCTAGCCATCACCGGTCACTGGGTATCCCTCTGGTTTATTCAGGTCCTCGGTAAGAAATAAATTAATATGTGTGTCTCGTAGCACCAGAGATTTTAGATGTCAATGTGCTGCGGAAATAATGTAGGTCTGTGGCTTTTAGCAGAGAATGAATGACAGATAGATAATTTATGATGATTCTCGAGATCTGAACTGTAATTATGAAGTATTTCTAGGTGTATATTCAGGATGCAAAGTGTAAGGAACCTAGAGCTAATGTTAATTTATTATTGACAGCTGTATATATAATAATATATCATGTCTTTTAATCTTACATTCCTTCTGACTTACATCAAGCAATCCTTTCATTCATTAATAAAATCAAGCCTTGCCATTATTCTTAATGATGAAGTCCCATTTTGAATCTGGAGGACTCCTATAATTAAACTCTGTACTTCCATATACCAGACATCTGAAGCTCAAAAAAAAAAGATAAATTGAACTTCTTGTTTTACAGACAGGATGAAAAAACATCAGAAAGACAGAGCCCACCTGCTCACAGTCCCACTGGAGCTAAACAGAAAGTCGGGGGAAATGTTTGTGTTTATCTTCTCAGTTCGCACCACTACTCTGCTTTTTTTTTTTTCTCCTTTTAGTTATAACACCCCCCCCCCAGTGCCTCCTGCCACCCCTCCACCATCTTTCCTTTTCTGAGGCAGTATATTCAAAGGATATGTTTTTAAAGGTCAAGATAAAAATTACAACTAAAAGAAATACAGGCTAACATGTCTCCTCCAATTTTCTGTGCTGTGCCAAAGACTTACACGATTAATCCTGTCAAAAGAAATCTAATCTAATCTTATTACACCAAAGACAAGGTGTCCTTTATAAGTATCATGGCTGGGAACAAGTTGGTGTTCTCTAGTTTTGACTGGTTCAATGCCTCCTTCAGTTTACAACCAGTCATCGCCTTGGCAACTTACTCGCTGCATGCCCTTAGCATTCTCAAAATTTAAACAGTGTTCTTGTTGAAGTCGTCAAGCGCACGCCATGTATTATCAAACACCCTGGTCATTTTAGAAGATATAGACCCATGATACTTGTAGAAGCAAAATCTTTAAGCTCCTCCACTAATTAATGATCACAAAGTGGAATGATGAGATACGTGGAGATAGGGATCCAGTTATCTGGCCATCTCTCATCTGGAGACAGAATCAGATTCCAGAGTAGGTGCGAGAGAACTGAGTAAGCAAGTTTCCTATCTGTAACACTAAATCTAAATCTATGATCGGTTAATTAAATCATGACAAATAACATTCTGTGGCAAGTGGAAGGTGCTCAGCAGTTTGGTGAGATGACCACAAGTTCAGTGGTTCAAAGACATTCACTACATCTGAGGGTCTTTGCACTTCTGACTTAAAAATGTTTACTGTAATTCTCTGGAGAGCTCTCGTACGGGAAAAAAAAAATACTGAGGTTTTGCTCCAGTGGCTTTTTGAAGTTGCTAATGTTTTCCTATCAGTTCTGTGTCTTACACCTTCTCTGTCTTCAGGAATGAAGGTTCTAATTCATTAACATTGCTATCTGACTGGTTTCTTTCTATTGGTTCTGCCTCTTCCCATTACATCAGTGTGAGGAGGAAGATGTCAGTCAGCAGGAGCCATGCCATGCTGCAGTAACAAACAGCCCCAATGGTTGGTGACTTCCTCACCCTACATATCCACCATGGGACAGCTGGGGGCTCGGCTCACTGTTGCTATGCTAAGATGGAGGCTGAAAAGGTGGCCACCATTTTGAACATTGCCAGTCATCAAGTCAGCAGGGAAAAAGGTACCCTGGAAGCAACTGCACTGGCAACTAAATGCTCCCAGGATAGAGGTGACACTCCCACCACACACAATTCATGAGCCAGCACCTGTCACGGGCCATACCTCTGAGCCAGGAAAAGGGCCACAAAGTTCTATCTAACCTTGTCCTATAAGAGGGACATTGAAAAATAACTGCTGTATTCCAGAAAAGATTACCACAGAAACATCAGACAGATACACTTATCTTCTCTTGTTGAGAAGTCCCTTATTTTCCCTAGATCACAATTTCCCCACTTTGTTTTTGCCCTCTTCCCTGATCAAATAATTCTCTAACTTCTGTCCACTTTTGGATTCACAGATGTTACAGTTATTACTAAAGAAAATTTTCTCTTCAGATAGTTATAAACTAGGATTATTCATATAGATCAAGAAAAGGAAAGAAATTTGCACATTAATTGTTCTCCCTTTATCCTTTTCATATATTTCTGGTTTTCCTTATTTTTTCCTTCTCCCCTTCCACGGTCATCTCCTGCTTAATCTCTTTTATCGAAAAAAAACCTGCCCAACACTTTATTTTTCCTTCTTCTTAGCTATTTGGTCCAATTGGCAAAGGAGTCTTGTAGATTAGCAGAACTCTAACGTTCCTGGTTTCCCAACCCTGCCACTTCAGGCGAATTTGTATCCTGAGATACAGTGAGGAGAATTACTGACCTGTCTGAACAAGCCCAAGTTTTGCTAGGTATTTCTCCTACTTGATAATTGAGACCCCGGCCAACTGCAAAGACTTCTAATACATCTGGAAGTCCCCAAGGGCTATCTCAATGAACAAGTCCAATCCATTACTGTGACGGGAATCTTAGGTTTGCTCCCTTCCTACTGCTCCTGGCCCACCTACTGAGTCCAGACCAAAACACCCTGCTGTGTAGTTCCTAACGTACCAAAACAGTCCCGCATTCTCTGTGAAGTTGGATGAAATGCTTCAGTTCCTTTGTATTTTACTTTTTCCGCAGGTGAACCAAAACAAGGCTGCTTATAACCCCGGTGTGTACGTCACGAATAAAAACAGAGCCAAAGGATAAACACCATGATGCTCGCAGAAGGACTGAGGTCGTGTTACTCCCTCGAACTACCAAGTCAGGCCATACATAACCGCTAGGATGAATTCTTTCCCTGGAAATCTTTTCTCAAGCAAATAGATTACCCAGGGCTATCCCTGCCCCTCACCAGTCACACCTGAAGTCCAGCCACAAACCCAGCTAGGACCTCTCCATTTTAGCCAAGAACGCCACAAAAAGCATAGCCCCACAAGCGCAGGAACAAATTCCTATGCATAGGACTGAAAAGAGTGCCTGTGATCATGGTGAAAAGCCAACTAGGGAGGAGATGGAGTGATGAAGCTAGCAGCAGACTGGGGCGACGTGGCAAGACACACCGACTTTTGGGCCAAGGCAACCACTGAGAGGACAACGTAGACGCCTTTGGAGGCCGACGCCCCAGACCCGAACCCACCCAGGACCGGGACTACCCCGAGCCGCCAAAGTACCTTCTCCGCGCCGGCCCAGCCGGAACGCCCCAGGATGCCCGTGGGCGGGGCCTGCGCATCGCCCCGCCCCGCGGCCCGCCACTAGGGTCACCTGACCTGCCCGAGGCTCACGTGATCCGTCCCCAGCGTCGCCATTTTGGAGCTCCGGATGAGGAGGGGAAAAGCGGGGGAAAAGAGGGAAAAGAGCTGGGAGAGAGGTGGGCGAGGACGAGGGCGAGGGCAGGGCCGGGCTCCTGGCCGGCCAAAGGAGGCTCGCGGAAGCAGCAGCCGCCGCCCGACCGCAGGTACAGCGCCCCGGGGCCGCCCCTCCGCCCGCAGGTAGCGCCGCCGCCGGCCATGTGCGTCCTCCCCTCAGGCCTCTACCGGCGCCCGCTTCCTCTTCAGCGGGGCGACACCGCCCGGTTCTCGCCGCATGCCCTAAGTTCCGCGTCCTCTTCCAGTGCTCTGCGCCGCCCACAGCAAGGCCAGCGGAGACCCCGGGCTTGCCCTGCCGTGGGGGGTGGGGGGGAAAACTGCCGCTCTCCGCATACTGTCACCAGCCTGGTCTGCAGGCGGGCCTGCAAGGCGTTCCTTGCTTCCTTCCCCCCAGCAGATGTGAAACCGCTTAGGCCAGCCGCGATAAAGCTCACGACGGTGTCTTCACCGCATCTCCTGATTACTTTTCTCAGGCCCCATCGCCCAGCCCTGTAGCCAATTCTTGGTATAGAAAAAGCTACTACAGAAAATCCTAGCCTTCTGCCCCTATTACGAACCTTTTCGGTGAACTGGTGTCCCCAGAGATCACTGAGATCAGTGGGAAAAAAAGCTCCCACCTTTTAAGACCTGCGGGCATCCGGAGTTGAATGGTTTGTGTGGAAGACCTGGATGATTAATTAGGCGGAGGCCATCATCCCAACCCGTAGGCGATCTTTTTAGTTACTGCGGTGGGGTGTAATTTACTATCAGTCTGCATCTCTTTTATCAGGCAATTACTGGATTTATCACCTCCTTGAGCTTGTACTTTCTTCAGTACTCTGCTTTGACTCAGTGTATGGGTTGTGTTATTGATTAAAAGAGAAAGCCTGGCCCTTCATTCCTTTACCTCACTAACTCGTTTAAAATTAACTTCAGGGGAGGACCAAAGACGTGCTTTCTGCCCTGGCAACGAACTATTTACTTAACCATAATCGATAAGATAGCTGCATTCTAGGAGAAACGGACAGACATTATTCGATTTTTGAGATTAAGTCTAGTTGGTATAAGAAACAGTAGCAAGGACCAGGGCAGGAAACTGCATTAGAAGATATATATAGGTCAATCTGTCCTCTCTTTTCATGCCCAATGTGCTTGCAGAACTGTTTCAAGTTTGCAGAATCATCCTTTAGATTGTATTTTTGGTTAAGATTAAAATAGCAGTATACAATTTATAGATCCTTATTCATTAGAAAGGTATCAGTAAAACCAATAGTATTTTGAGTCAACTAGTTAAATTCTGAGCTAAAACAAAATACACAATTATTGGGAGAAGTTTCCAGAGCAGTTTTTTTTTTGTTTTGTTTTGTTTTGTTTGTTTGTTTTTCCAAACTTGTGCAAAATCATAGTCTACTTGTTAGGGAAATTATGTAAATTTGCATCACATGATTGGGTTGCATGAACATTCCTCTGAATTTCTTTTTCACATAGAATATTGGGAAATTTTTCACTGCCAAAAGAAATCATTACTTTGTTTTACCAAGAAAGAGAAATGTTTGATACTATATACTTTCATTCTTGGCCACAGCTGAATTCTGAAGATTGATCCAAGGGACTGTGGTAATTTCAGGAATTGATTTGAAAGACATTGGCTCTGCCACTTGACAGCCATGTAACCTTGGGTAAGTGACTTAAACCACACTGAGTGTTTCCTTATTTGTAAAGTTGTGTAACACCCACCTGGCCTGATCCAGACTGTCACTAAGATCAAACAGGCTAACATGTTTGACATAGTCTTGCTCTAAGGGGCTGTTACTCTTTTCAGTATTGATTCTTATACATATATGTTCTCACTGAGATGTAAGAGGGAAATTGGTGTATTAAGAAAGGAGATTTAGAATCAGATAGGTCTGGATTCCAATTCTTAAGCCAGTTATTACTTTACATCTGTGAGCCTCAGATTCCTTAAGTGCAACAAAGAGGCTACTATTATCAGAAATAACACGAATACACAAGTCTGCATAGGCACTGTCCCCTGGATGGTGAGCACTTCAAGGACAAGGATTTCTTCTTACTTACTTTTGTAGTCTCCAGCACTGTGCTTGGCACATTATAGGTGCTCAGTAAATGTTAAATCTTAATATTGGTTAATGTTAGTTAGACCTTATGTCTTCGCCGTGGCTGCCAAATTAGAATATTCTCTCAGGCTAGATGCCAACTAAGAAATTTTAGATTATGAAATTTGTGTACTTGTGATATTGATACTGTTTTTTTCTTAGTGGCAATTAATCACATTAAGCTAAGGAGATTTTAATTCAAATAAATTATAGCTGACAGTAAGATAAATCTATAAATAATGTGTAAGCAATCTCAAGGTAATTTTTTATAGACAGTTCATAATTTAGGGACATGAAAGTTCATCCAGTACCAGTCTCTTGTTTTACATCTGAGGAATCTGAATAAAACCCACAGAAAACAGTGACGTGCCTAAGGTCACACAACTGATTGAGGGTACTCTAGAAGAGGAACTTCTGCCTTTTGACTGGAGCAAAATGTTTTGTATTTTAGGATTATGATAATCTAGAAGAATGGGAAATTGGTCATTACATTGGTCATTACATCTTTGTCTAGTTGGGAAAGAACAAATTGTTAGTCTGAAAGAAAAAGTTCTTTATAAAATAGCAAACTGCCTTTGCACACACACAGAAAATTACAGCCTTTCTCCACTTCCCCTCAGGCTCACAAGAATTGTTCAACTTGATTTTACTTATGATAACCATATGCTATAACTGAAAGGAACTAATTAGATATACAAAGAAACCAAGTAGTAAATTATAAGGAAAGAAAGACAACAGAAATAATTTGGTTCTTTTCTTGGGAAAGACATTAATTACAAGCTTAGGCTATGGAATACAGGTCTCCCCCACTTTTCAGTTTGCTTTCTGCCACTTCGCTTTTATGAAGGACCTACAAAAGTACCTATTTTCTCTAACTGAAAGAAATCCGAGGATTTCACTTCTACAAAAAAAAAAAAAAAAGATGAAAACCAAAAGTAGTTTTTAATCTTTGTTTTGCAGTGAGCCGTTAATAGAGGCAGCACGTACCCCAGCAGCAAGAGTGGCCCCACCAAGCTCCTTCCCTGCCCGGGAACTGCACTCAGCATCTCAGCATCAAGGCGCCAGAGCTTTGAACTGTGTCTGTGAGCATCTGTGCTTTATCTTGATCTCTTTTGTGCTTTCATTAGCAAGGTGTGTCCTGAGGTATCAGAAAAGCCTAAGAGGTTATTTTTTGGTTTGGGGAACACACAAAACTTCCTCCATATAATTTCAGGGTCATTCCTTCTTCACTTGACATCATTTTGGCTTCTCAAAGATCTTGTAGGAAGTTTCTACTTTCAGGTAGCTGGGGAAACCTGTCCTGTCGTCTAGGAAAGATTTGAGACTGAGTGGAAGGATTGTAGAACTTTTCTGGCTTGGGATGCAATTTATATTTATTTATTTGTAACAATTTGGTATATATTGTCTAATGTTATGTCCAAAGATTCCAAACAAGGAGCTCCGACTTTGCTGATGCCTCTAGTCTTTCCTCTTTCTGTAAACCTTCCTATTCAGCCATATTGGTCTTTTCACTAACCAGATAATTAAATAGCAGGTTTATTCTTGTTTATGAAAATATAATAATGTTATGGCTGTTTTCCTTATCAATCTTACCCTTGTGTTAACAGAATTCCAAAAGAGCAACTGAAGCACTCTAATTAGGATAATTCAAGGAGGATATATTTACAAAGATACTCTTAATAAAGATGTAGGACTTCATAAAGATGTAGGCAAACTATAGGGATAATGCAGTTACCTGATGCTAGTAGTGTCAGGAGAAGGAAGAGTTACCAGAAGCAGAAAAGTCTTGCAGAGCCCCTGCCTGGTGAGAATGGCCTTCCATTGAACATGGCCAATCCAAGGTGACCTAGAGGGAGGGAACCAAGGACATGAATATCCTGATCTCACTCTGCTACCTCCCTCTGATCTCCTGTTGTGGCTCCCCATGGGCAACCAGAAACGAGAGAGCATGGGAGTCTAATGATGTAATACCTCCTGAGGCAGAGAACAGAGTGGAGAAAAGGAGACACGGAGCCTAGAGGGGCAGATGGTTGACATCTGGCACAGCCGTCTTTTGGAATACAGTGTACCTCCCACCTCTTCGTAAAGCTTTTCCTTACCTTCCTAGACCAAAACTAGCTCTTCAGTTTTTATTAGGGTTTGGTCATTAGCTGTTGCCTTCTGACTATTTTATCATGTGTACTGTTTCATTATTTAAAAGCTGTTAATTCTCTTTTAACTTCTAAATATGTTTGTCCTATCCAGTCAACTCAGTTTTAAACCATGAGTACTGTGATTTTTTTTTCCATAATCATGTTTTGTTTAATGCCTTGCATGTAACAGTTTTTATTACAACTTTTTATTATGAAAAGTTTTAAACATGTATGCAGTAGAAAGAACAGTATGAGGAATTCCTAGGTACTCATCACTCAACTTCAGTTACAAAATTTGCCATTCCTACTTTATCCCCCCACCACCCACCCCTTTGACCATAGTCATTTTTTTAAGTTTCATTTACATTGATCTGTTGAAGGTCATGGATAGTAGGCACGTGTTCATAATCCATGTTGTCATCATCATTGAGCCACTGGGATTGTATTTGTACTCCTTATTTTCATCTCCTTTTTTTTCCCCCAAATTTTACTTCACTTGACGTGGAATCCCATATATATGTGCACATTGGTGGCCCAAAGTGAAATTTTTGTGAAAATTTAAAGGATTGGCCTTAAGGTCAGCTTAACTCCCTTCTTGTGTATACTTTATTATGAACTGTTTATCTAACCTTTTCTAACAGAGACTTTTGTTTAATGAGACGAGACTTGTACGTCGATTGTGCCGTGCAGACTCAAACTGGTTTTTCAGGTGTTTCGTGGTGTATTTTATGTTGTCATATCTGTTTTATGGCTGCCATTTCTGTACTTATCCTCAAATGTATGCAGCCTCTAAAATGAGGTACTTACATAAATGTTCAGGGAAAATTGGAGCATCTGCTGCAAATTTCCATTAGCTCTTAATGCCTGAGCAGACACCGCTTTTAAAATCGGAATGTTTTGTCAGTTTCTTTTGTATTAGTCTTTTTCTTCAGATAAAATGAACTCTTCCTCCTCTTCATTTTACTTTCTTTTTAAGGTTACACAGTGAAATATCCACAGGGAGCAATTTGCACTGCTCTCTTTCCTATTCTGTCATTAAGTAGAAGAGGGATAACATGAATCACCTTTGTAACCCTGTGGGTATGCAAAGTCTGTTGAGCCAATAGTCACTTGTCAACTTGCAGACTATCAGTCAGCCTACATGGATGTCACATTTCATTGAGAAGGACACCTTAGGTCTACAGTAGACCACCAGATCTTGTGCAAGAAACTAAATGTCCAAGGATTCCTGTTACTAACAATTACTTAACTAATTTGTGTTTAATAATTGAACCGAAAGAAAAAAAGCCTTGAGTGACCTTAAAGGGAAATCAGTAGTCACAGAAAGAGCCACAGTGCCCTTTGGCCTAAAAATGTGAAATTCTCAGGCAGTAAGGTGACTTACGAAGTCACAAAGGATTTTCCCAGAGAAACAAATTTTTCCCATACTGATCCCTTCATTAGTGACTTAAGATTGAGTATAGGGATTTAAAAATACCACTCTTCCTACTTGAGAAAAATAGAAAGGGACTCCATAGTCTTTTGAGAGGTAATGCCCTCAGGGTTGTTTAAGGGAGAGAGTAGCTAAAGGGCCAGTGGTCTGAGCTGGGGTAGCAGTCGCTGTTGTAATGGCTACAGAATGCATTCCTTGCCACGAGTGCAGTTGGACATGGAGAAGAAAAGAAAGTTGATCACATTGGACAGACTATCAGGGAAGGAGGGAAGAAGTAGTACTAAAGAAACCGAGAGTAAAATGTTTGCATTTTTGCCTGATGTGGACCTAGATATAGAAAGTTTGTGTGCCAGAAAGAGCAGAAAAATGAGAGAGGAAAAGCCATCACTGTTGCCAAGAGTAGATATGGGAGGATTGGCACCGCAGCTGGTCAGAGCACTGGTAGGGTCTAGCAGGAGTTAGGTCTGATCTTGGCAGGGCTGAAGGGCCCTTCCGTGTTGATTCAGCCACCTGGGGGGAGAGAAGCCATTATTCACCTCCTAAAATAAGAATTCAAAGCCTGTAACTGGAGTTTAAGAATAGTATGGTCTTTGGTCTATAGCTGGTGCCACTAAAAATTTTGCTGGCATTTATTGAATGTTGTGAGTAAGACTCCAGAATGCACCTAAAATGTGGAAAAACAAAACTTGTTGCTGGAAAAAAGCCTAAACTGAAAAATGTGATCCAAGTCAACAAATTAATCTCACTTTGAGCCAAAGGAAATGTTTGAAATGAAAGTACTGCCAGGAAATAGAGGATTCAAGATCTAGGCGGAAAGATATTGTGAGTATTTTTTGTTTTGTAACTTCCTTGTCTGTAGTGCATTGCTAGAACTTACAGAGAACCCCTTTTAAGGACTTTGAATATGTAGACCTGAAACACCAGTTGTTTTCCTTCTCTGATGCCCCTCTCCCTTTCAAGGAAAAAAAAAAAAGAAAAGAATGAAGAACATACATGCGTATGAGTAGTAGTTGACCACTAATACGGCCTCTAGGAAAAAACCACAGCATGGTTTGTGGTTTATCTTCAGGAAGATAAATGGAAGGAAGTAAAAGAAGGAACTAGATCATTGCTTTTATGTAGTTTCATTTGCATAGTACTTCTCAAAATTTACTCTGCCCTTTACAAGAGGTTCACGGCTGTATTTTCATAATTCCAAAGATCTGGGGAGGAAAAACTGTATGGTTTTAGTAATAAAATTATAATCATATTTGGTATAAGAAGTTGTCTCCCAAGAATTGTGTCGATCACGTATTGGCCTTACAGAATAGTATTTTGTAGTAACTTGAGGTGGTTCCACATGCCCCGGGAATGCCTGTGTTCTTTCGGTCAAAGAATAGGAGTCCTGTTTTTTGGCATTGGGCAAAAGAGAGGGGTACTGATTGGACCCAGCTAGATGTCTAGGGGAAAGAAAGTGAAGAAAAAGGAGTTTCACATTGTTAAAGTCATTTCCAAAGAAAGAAATTGATGGAAAGATCATCATCAGTCTTGATAGGGAACGGCACTCCAAAGAGAAGTTGTAAACGGTTTCAGTCTCTATTGGGCATACCCAGGTATACTGATACAGAGCTCCCAGGTTAGAGAATACAGAGATTAGCTTAAACTCTAAGATTAGTTTCAATTTCCTGTAGTTACATACCTGGGATACCTATAATCTGGTTATTTCTTTCTGTTGTATGTTCTCCTTTCTAGATATGGAAGAAAGCAGCAGTGTTGCCATGTTGGTGCCAGATATTGGAGAACAAGAGGCACTATTGACTGCTGAAACTGTCATCAGTTCATCATTGGAAATTGATGAACAAAGAAAAGTTAAAACAGATCCATTAATCCATGTTATCCAGAAGTTAAGCAAGATCGTAGAACACGAAAAGTCACAAAAATGTCTCTTAATTGGGAAGAAACGTGCACGTTCCAATACTGCAGCACACTCCCTTGAAGCCCAAGAACTTTGCGAGATTCCAGCTAAAGTAACCCCGTCACCTGCTGGCGAGATTAGGAAGACGGAGATGTCACAGATACACCTCACCCCTGGCTCTCTTGCCCAGAACGATGGGAAGGCTATGTCTTACCAGTGTAGCCTTTGCAAGTTTCTGTCGTCATCGTTTTCTGTGTTAAAAGATCATATCAAGCAGCATGGTCACCAGAATGAAGTGATTCTGATGTGCTCAGAGTGCCACATCACGTCTAAAAGCCAAGAGGAACTTGAAGCTCACGTGGTAAATGACCATGAAAATGATGCCAACAGTCGCACTCAACCCAAAGCCCCGCAGTGTATAAGCCCCTCCAACTCTTTGTCTCAGAGACCCGCAGAAAGAAAGAATGAAACCACTTCTGATACCGCCATGAGTGTGGACAGTCCGCAAGCTCACCCCGCCCAAAATGCACCTGTGACAGAGATGGGTAAGAGGAAGTGGTACGCATATGAACAGTACGGCATGTACCGCTGCTTGTTCTGTAGTTACACCTGTGGCCAGCAGAGAATGTTGAAAACACATGCTTGGAAGCATGCCGGGGAGGTCGATTGCTCCTATCCAATCTTCGAAAATGAAAACGAGCCCCTAGGCTTGCTGGACTCTTCAGTGGCTGCTGAGCCTGGTGGGCTGGACGCAGTAGTCATTGCTATTGGAGACAATGAACTGAGTATCCACAATGGGCCTTCAGTACAAGTGCAGATTTGCAGCTCAGAAACCTTATCCTCTTCATCTCCTTTGGAACAGAGTGCGGAAGGGGGAGTTCATCTAGGCCAGTCGGTTACTCTTGACCCTAACGAGGAAGAAATGCTGGAGGTGATTTCGGATGTGGAGGAGAATCTGATTGCCGACAGTCTGCTTTCATCTGCACAGAAGATCATTAGTAGCAGCCCAAACAAAAAAGGCCACGTTAACGTGATAGTGGAGCGTCTCCCAAGTGCGGAAGAAACTCTTCCGCAGAAGCATTTCCTCATGAATGCTGAAATGGAAGAGGGCAAAAACCTGAGCCCAACAGAATCCCAGATTGGGTGTGAAGGAAGAGATGAAGTTTATCGAGCTGATAAATGTACTGTTGATATTGGGGGGCTGATCATAGGCTGGAGCAGTCCAGAGAAGAAAGACAGTGAGTTAATAAACAAAGGACTGGCTGCTGATGAGAACGCCCCACCGGGCCGAAGGAGAACAAATTCTGAGTCTCTCAGACTACACTCGTTAGCCGCAGAAGCCCTCGTCACGATGCCCATACGAGCTGCAGAACTGACGAGAGCCAACCTCGGGCACTACGGGAACATAAACCTTCTAGATCCAGACACCGGACAAAGGCAAGTAGATAGCACATTGGCGGCCTATTCTAAAATGATGTCACCACTCAAAAACTCCGCAGATGGATTAACTACTTTTAACCAAAGTAACTCGACGTTGGTAGCACTCCCGGAGGGTAGGCAGGAACTGTCCGATGGGCAAGTTAAAACAGGCATCAGCATGTCCTTATTGACTGTCATTGAAAAGCTGAGGGAAAGGACAGACCAAAATGCTTCAGATGACGACATTTTGAAAGAGTTGCAGGACAACGCCCAGTGCCAACCGAACAGCGAGGCGAGCCTGTCGGGAAGCAGCGTGGTGGAGTACATCCCCAATGCTGATCGGCCCTACCGGTGCCGCCTGTGTCACTACGCAAGCGGGAACAAGGGCTACATCAAGCAGCACTTGCGAGTCCATCGGCAGAGACAGCCGTATCAGTGTCCTATCTGTGAGCACATAGCTGACAACAGCAAGGATCTGGAGAACCACATGATCAACCACTGTAAAACAAGAATATACCAGTGTAAGCAGTGCGAAGAGTCTTTTCATTATAAGGTAAGTATTGGTTCAAGAAATCATTCAGAGAACCTTCGAATTTTGAGAGTCAGGAGGGAGCTTGCTAGAGAGAACCCGACCACCTCATTTTATAGGTGAGGAAACTGAGACCCAGGGAAGTTGGATAATTTGCCCAGAGGATCCCGACTGAATTAGTATTAAAATTGGGACTGAAATCTAGGTCATCAGAATTTCTGGTGTAGGATTGTTTTCCCTGCCGACCGCCTCCTTAACAGTTTCTGTGTTTACTGCTTTAGTTTTAGCGTGGATATCTTTTTTTAAATGTGTTGATTTTAAATTGCAGGGTAATTACAAGGGAATGTACAGTGGAGGGACGTACACATATTGGATTTACACAAATGTAATCCTACATCATCAGCGCAAAAATATAGCTATTTTTCATCTTCCATGGCCCCAAAATGTAGGTCGTTCACTTGAGCTACACAACCAGCCAGTAGTGATCTGTGTCACTGCAGGAGGGAAAATAAGCTGTTTTGGACTTAATGAAAGATAGTAAAGTGGAAACAGAGCCACATGTGTTGTTTTATGGGCAGTTTAAGGGACTTTCAAGGACTATTTTGACTGAATTTCCTCTTACATGCTACCTTAAAACCAACAACCCGCATTAGATACTGTTTCTGTAAAGGAAACCGGATTGACTCATTAGTTTCAAACTTTCCTTCTCTCGTGTGTCAGTTGACTGTTACGATAGGGGGAAAGTGTGCTTAAAGGGTAGCTGGGATGTAGGCTTTTTCTCTCAGTTTCCCCAGAGTTGGGGATCTAGCTCAGGAATAAAAAAGTCTTTGGGTCTGAGATTTCACTGCCTACTTGGGTTGCTCTCATGAAAATCCGAAGTGGTCTCAGGCTACTAGACAAGCAGTGCATCCAAATGGGCAGCAAAAGCAGGTTCCCGAAGTTCCTTTGGCTCCTGCATTCTTGATTGGTGGAGGTGGAGGACAAAGATCCCGTGAAGGAACGGTTCCATTTAGGTCTCTCTGGCACATTTAGTTGATAATTGAAAGACAAAAATTACCAGGAGTCCAGCAAAACAGTTGCTGTTTGGATTTATTTTTATGAAAGCATTGGGTTATTCTGAGTGCTCTGCTCTTTCCTCCACTGGCAGGCCAGTGTGTAAGTAAGTATGCATGTGCCATGCGTAAGCAGGGGCTAGCAGGGGATTCCTCTCAGAAAAGGCACAGAGAGCTGCCTTTTTCATGAGACTGATTTCCCTAGCGTATTTCTTCCCATAAACTGTCAAATAAGTCAGGTAATCTTTTAGCACATTTGATTTTAAAATACTGATAATGTGTTTTAGGTACGAGGCCGTGAAAGCAATTAACTGCTTCTCCAGTCTCTGAGTAACAGTGCAGGTGTATTTATTGAAGGTTACATGTGAATATTTCTCAATTTTTTTAGAGTCAGCTGAGGAACCATGAGAGAGAGCAACACAGTCTTCCAGATACCTTGTCAGTAGCAACTTCTAATGAGTCGAGGATTGCCGGTGATACAGCTGATGGAAAATGTATTCAGGAAGGTATCCGTGCTTTTTTTTTTTTTTTTTTTTGGTCCAGGCTGCATGAGTAGCATAGAAAGTTTTCTTAAAAAGCTTAGTTGTCATGTGGGTTAATTTCAGGACTAAAGCTACCTATATTCTCTCTTTTCATACTGCGGAGTGAATCTTAACCCGTGTTCTGAGGTATTGAATGAACACTGTATTAGTAAGTTCTCGGCTTCAACACTGTAGGTAAATAATAGGTTGAAATTTATGCTGTCCTGTCAGAGCCAAGTCCAGCATAAACCCTTGGGTGACATACCAGCAAGCTGGGGAAGCTTTTGCAGACGGCAGGCTCTCACCTCAAACTTTAAGTGAGGCTTCCTGCTGAGATCTTATTCTTATCCAAGTATGGCTGCCAGATTTCATCTGCATTATTCAAAAAAAAAACACGCACAAGATCTTTTTATGCACTAGTTAGGTACTAGTTGGCCGAGTTTCTGCTAATAGGAATATTAGAATCAAAAGATTTAATTAGAGTTACATGAAAAGGCGGATGCCACATCCGGAGAATTAGGGATAAAGTGTAATAAACCATGCTTCCGTGCATCAGCTCTCTTAAATTGATATACTTTAAGTGTCTCAAGTGCGGTACATAGTGTTTATGGGAAATAAAACATATTGGGGTGACTTTCCTTTTTAGATTTCCCAAGAATTAAAGTTAGAAACAACTGCAGAGTAAAATGTTTTACCATAATGTTTCATTAAATTATACCCCAGAAAGCATAACTGATTCAAGAATGTTTCTGAAAGAACTGATTTTGACACCACTGTAGCACCAAAATTCCCTTGTCAAACAGATGTCATCCCTGTAAAACTATCCAAAACAAAAGGAGTTTATGACATAGCATCTGTTTCTGCAATAGATGGCTGAGCTAAAACAGTTTTGTTTCCTTTTTACAAAATAGCCCTAAATGCCTCCTTTTATTTTAATTCATTATGTTTCCATATCCCCCTTTAAAGGAGACATTAAAACATTTGATGTCGTTGGACCATAAATCCCTAATGAAGGAATAAAGTAAATACTACTCAGTGGCACCACCTGCGGTTAATACTAGTGGTGGAATGGCTTTTCTAGCACCATCTTCCAAAGCAGTAGTTTATAAAACTGTCCAAATGGGTTAACAAATTAGAACTCACAATTTTAATAAAAAAGATTAAAATGTCAGCTCAAAATTAAAGTAACCAGTTTGAGCTTTACGGCGATAGCATCTGTCCACCATATCCCCATTTTACAGCATCTTTTCTTAGTGCATTCTGCTGTTTCTTGGGGTTAAATGTATGGATTTAAACTGCTTGCCATGTCTGTTTTTCTCTCACTTCATTCCATTTTTCTTCTCTGTGATAATAGTAAAACGCTTCAGATGACTGATAACCTCCTGCATACTTAAATGTTGACACTTTATTAATCAGTATAGATCTTCGGAAATCTGGTTGTCAGGCCAAGAAACAAAGTGTTTTGCTCACAAAGAAGGTCAAAGAAATTCATGTCTTGCTAGAACTTCTTTAGCCATTTAATAAAATTAATGAACAAGTTGGGGGATGTGTGCTTCAGTGGTCCCCAGCCTCCGCCTCTCCCCACTCTGATGGCACAGATAACATAGGACATGTTTTTGACTCTGAGACCCAGTGTAATGGAGTTTCAGACATTCCTCTGCCAAAAGGCGTGGAGGGCCCATCCTGAGCTTGCTGCCAGCAGTCCAGTGAAGGCATCCAGTGCCTGTCCGGACTGCAGCCGGGGAGGAAGACAGAACTGTACCGACAGGGGTGTCAGCTAACGTCACAGATGCTCTCCTAGAGCCATGGGCAAAGCACTTTCATATGGTGCTCCTTTGTGAAATTTAATTAAATTGTTCCTTATTGCAGGGCGCCTGGGTGGCTCAGTGGGTTAAGCCTCTGCCTTCAGCTCAGGTCATAATCTCAGGGTCCTGGGATCGAGCCCCGCATCGGGCTCTCTGCTCAGCGGGGAGCCTGCTTTCTCCTCTCTCTCTCTATGCCTGCCTCTCTGCATACTTGTGATCTCTCTCTCTCTGTTTCAAATAAATACATAAAATCTTTAAAAAAAAAATTGTTCCTTATTGCAAACAAAATTCGCGAAGCTCTGGAAATTCGGCATAAACAGAACACACAGGTCTCTGCCCTCAGGGGAGTCTACAGCTAGGGACAGGTCAAGAGATCCACACAAACATGCAGGTGACGCACAGACTGCAGTGAAAGAAGAATAGAGGGTTCTCTGCTTTCTGAGTAAACCATGCTGGGGGGTTCTAGAATTTCCATTTTGTAGATGAGAAAAGTGAGTCCTCACCAGATAAAATGCTTTTGCCCATGATCACCCTGGTACTAGGTGGAAGAGCAAGGACAAAGCCCAGAGTTTTGAACTTCTAAATCTAATACTCTTTCTACTGGAAACAGTTGCTTGAAGTAGCACGGGCTCTCATTCTGTGCTATATTAAGTTTTTCCATCTGTCATTTTTATTAGTTGTCATTGATCTGTAATATTTCTCACACAAAACCATTATCCAGTATTTCACACTTCATTTTTTCAGGGTTTTTTTAAAAAACTGAATTTGGAACAGTGCCACTTACAATCAAGTCCAAGTTTTTAACCTACCAATTAAGAGTAATACTTAAATTATAATTATGATTAGTGTGTATATTAATGTTGTGGACTTACACCAGGAAATTAGGACATTTTGTTCTGCCTGGCAAAAGTAGTTACAGGCAAAAGAAAATTTCAATTTTAGAAAGCTTAAATTTAACTTAAGGATTTTCTTTGTTGAAATTTCAGCGTGGGTTTCTTTTGTGCCACCAATTTTACGATTCTGTGCTGTGTGCTAGTGTTCTACCTGAGCTTCCTTCCTGTTCTGGCTTATTCTCCAGCTTTCCATGCTTGCTTTGTTTCGGAATATGAAGCAGTCAGGCTGTGAATGGCCTGCGGATTTTGTGCTTACAGAAGAGTAAAGAGGGTGTGGAATATCTTCGGGAACAGTTTTACATGATCACGGCATCCAGCTTGTTTTGTCTCAGGCTTACCCTGATTAAAACTACGCAGTCCTGTTGCTGCAGAGTGAGGGTGGTCACATGGCCTCTTTTCCACTGGATCCATGTCTTCTGGATTCCAGAGAGTGGCACAGTCACGTTAGTGATAACACTTATCCTTCTCACCTGCCAGTTTGCTGGGTATGATTATGTGATATTATTTAGCACTGAATAATTCCTGCTGGTTTTTCCTTCCGTTGTTGCACTGATAGCTGGCTTTCAGGTGTAAAAAAAGGAAACCCGCAGGGTAAAAAAGCTTTAGTCTTTTTATCTAGAGTTTGTTATATATGCCTTGCAGCATACTGTGTAATGTTGTATTAGAGTATGAAATCACAGCTTGTTGGCAAATCAGGGTTTCCTTAAGACAGTGTATCCAGTATCAGTTAGACCACCTTTCAGATGAACAGTGTATCTCTGGTTAATTCAGCTGCTGCACAGTCAGCAGGGCAGCTGGCATCAAGTTTATTACATTCTAGCATTTTGTACAAGGTTATGCATAAACTAACCCAATGTATCTGTGTTTATAGGTCAGATGATGTTCAGCTTATATCTGCTGATAGTCTAGTAGCAGGAGAACCTGGAAAGCCGTGTTCAAACTTGTTAATTTTAATAAATGAGAAAGCCTCGATTGAAATATTAATACTGTTATAAATATTCAGTTACAGTGGAAATTGTGTCATTTGTATCTAATCAGTGCATGTTGCTAAAGCTCTCCAATCCCTTGTCTAGGGACTAAGTCTTCAGTCCAGAAACAGTATAGATGTGATGTGTGCGATTATACAAGTACAACATACGTTGGAGTCAGAAACCACAGACGAATCCATAACTCCGACAAGCCATACAGGTAAGTGTGATTATCCTAGAGTTTTAATGCTTGTATGAGAATATTTTATAGTAAAGAAAAAAACAGAATTAAAGATTCATAACGCCTATTTAAACACAAGGTAGGTACAAAGAAACTCACTACTGGTGAGTGCTGTCTAGTTTGTTAAGAAATATGAACTTTAAGCTTTTGTCTTAGGACAACCGGCATTTCATCTAGTTGAAAATAGAGGAAGATATCTACATCTGTCAGTTTGATGTTCTCAGTTTCATGTGGGTATAAATTACCATAGTAATCTTCAGTGCTTTGAGTACATTTTAGTAATTTGGAGGTTTAACTGCTCCATATTCCAACAAAAGATGCTTAAAACTTAAAAGCAATAAAATGCCCTATGAAAGAGGTTTTTCTTTTAAATTAAGCTATCATTTAATTTTGTTACTTGATTTTCCACAAAAGCCAGTACTAATACTTATTTCCAGGAAATAAAGACGTTCTCAGGTGATCAAGATAGAAAGATAGAAATCATTATGTCTTAAGTACACTTCACCTCTTGAGAATAAGCTGCATGTTGTTCGTGTGCTAAAAGTACAGACATTATGGCAGAAGGTCCCCCTGTCCCAAGGCAATCTGTTCCACTTGCAGCCACAACGGAGGATCAGGATCCTACTCAAAGCTGAGACCGTCACCGTGGCTAATTGCGCTAGGCCATGGCATGAACTTTTTCAGTGGCTTATCAAAATCTGTTTCACATTTTAACTTCTCTCCCCAGTTTTTCATATAGGTATGACACAGTGTGTGGGAAACTTGCCCACTGTATTAGTAGCTAAATGAAAACCTGACAGACTGTGCCTGAAAATGCCATTATTTGATGCTATAGTATAACATTTGCAAACTTATTTATAATCATTCTTATTTGTTTATAATCAGTCCTCAGTATATTCATTTGCCGAGTCTCATAGCTCCATGGAAGGTGTTTGGCCTTACCTCAGTGTGTTTTTATTTCAAACATTTTTAAAACTAGGATCCCTAAGAAAGATTTTTCCCCAGAATACAATGAAGGCCATTAACCATTATCAACAACTTCATGGCCAGAAATTATAGATGAGCAGTAATAGGTACTTAGCGTGTATCATTTATGATTGACACTAGGAATCATTTAGAAAAACATGATGGAAACGGGACACTGGTTCATCTGATAAGAGGAGAAAGTTTTGCCTTTATATTTTGGGTATCTGTATTTTTAAATGTAATGATATACTGTGCCAGATTTCATGTGATCCAGGCAAGAATAAAATAACATTCTTTGGATCTAGAATTAGATTCATTGAGAAGTATTTATTGAGCAATACTACGTTCCAGGAGCTGTGCTGGGCTGTTAGAGTATAGTCATGATAAAAAGGTTATTATACCTCTTTCATGAAATTTGTAGATCAACAATAAGTAAGTGAACTCTCAAATACACAGTTAATGATAAGTTTATGAAAGATTCTGGCTCTGTAGAGGAGTCTTCACATCTTCCTGAGTAGATTAGTCTTATAGCTTAAAAATGAATTTTGATAGTTTTTGGTGTCCTAGATTTTATGTTTTCTTATGTTCTGAAGATATTCACAGATTCCTGGGGTTGGTTGTGATTGTCCTAGGGTCTTCCTACCAGTGGGCAATGTACTATGAGAATCCTCCTCCTCTTACAAGAAAGTGGCGTCCGTGTGTTACTTTCCAGGATTATTCACACTACACTTGGTCACTGGGTTTAGCCTGAGTGCTTATGTCTTAGGAGAAATGTCATATGTCCCGCTCCCTGTAATTATGAACATTTTCTCATAAGTCTTATTTTTAAACAGTCAAATCTTGTGACTCTTTTTTTGACCTTCTGTAGATACTTTAAATACACATGGGATTGTGAATTAACACATTGTATTCCAGTAAGCTTCTAGGACTTCCTCTTTCTTGTCAATACTGCTTGACTCAAGCTAGTTAGCATCGCGTTCTTGAAGTCTCCTTGAACCGAGTAATCCCCGCAGTCTTTCTGGCCAGTTACATGTGTGCTCCGTTCAGTTTTGCCGCCTTGTACGCTTACTGGTTAGAGTTTAGGCTGCTTTTCTCAGAATCCATGCCGGATACATTTCTGATTACCTACTTTGTGTTAAGAAACACGCTTACCGGGAGCAGTGATGAATTTTTTTATGGAGTTAGAGTGCCTTGTTGCGCAACTTCTAGTCTTTGCACAAGGGCGGAACAGGTGCGTTGGTATTTTAATGTGCCTGTTATGTAATAGGTTTTCTGCAGTATGTGTAACTGTTCTTTGCACAAACCTTTCCTTTTTATGCTTCCATTCCAGTCCTTCATGGAACCCATTTGTGTGATCTGGGCAGTCCCGCTTCATGTACTAGTTAAGAAGAGCCTGGTTCCAGGGGCAGATAGTCCTGCGATTGAATCTGAGCTCTCTGACTTAACGGCACATTATTACGTTGGGGAAGCTATTTCACCCTATGATGCTTGGTCCTGTCTTTTCTAAAATGAGGATAATTAAGGCACCTGCTTTACAGGGCAGGCATGAAGACTAAATTCAATACCATATGCAACATCCTGTCACAAACTAAGCACCCAGTAAGTAATATTCATTGGGCCCAGTTTCTATCCTCGTCCTCTGTCACTGATTCATTGTGTAACATCACCCCCCCTAGCCCCCTCCTCAGAAATGCTGTTGACCTCTCATTTTAGAAACAAAGAGTAATCCTGTTTCTGGATAGACAGGCATAGCTTATTTCTTTTACAAGAGAGATGCTACTCCCAAGTAGAAATGTCACAGCTGAGATCCCTGTGCTGTGTTGCCTTAGAGGCAACCCAGTGTCTTGTGTAGCACTCGTGCTTTTGAGTCTCAGGCCTGTGCCACACACCTGTGCCCAGCTGGGTGACATTGTGGATGTTATTAAAGGCTAAGCCTGCTTTCCCATATGAAACAGGAGAATACTGCCTTGCTCATAAAGCTTTGTGAGTACTGAGTGAGGTCAGTTGTATTAAACGCCCACCATATTTCCTGGGGCATCAAAGGAGCTGGTTTTCTTCTGCTGCTCCTTTGCTTCCAGGGTCATCTCAGAAACTCTGTCCCTGTCACAGAAGGAAGAGAGCTATTTGCCATTCCTGTGTGAGGACACGGAAAGATGAAAAAGGCATCATCCCACCCCAAATGTTGCTTTACCAAGTGGAACAAACTTTGCTTTTCAGTGCTTCATTAACGAATTTCCATGTAGGGGCACCTGGGTGGCTCAGTGGGTTAAAGCCTCTGCCTTTGGCTCAGGTCATGATCCCAGGGTCCTGGGATCAAGCCCCACCTCGGGCTCTCTGCTCAGCAGGGAGCCTGCTTCCGCCTCTCTCTCTGCCTGCTTCTCTGCCTACTTGTGATTTCCGTCTGTCAAATTAATAAATAAAATCATTTAAAAAAATTTTTTTAAATAAAAGGAATTTCCATGTAAACCATATATCTGATGTCTATAACATTGACCCCACAGTTAAAGGGCTCCATTCAGGATTTTCAAATGGTAGATATCCTCTTAAGTTTACTATTACAGTTCTAGAATTCCTCCTGGTTTACATCCCCCAATATTACTTTTGTGACTGGCTGGAGATGGAAGATGGGATGATAACACATTTTCCTCAAGTTACCAAGTTCCCTTCTCACTTTCTAACATTGAACCAATTTTCCCTTAGATAGACACTTGAAGGGCACCTGCATGACTCAGTCTGTTAAGCATCTGATGCTTAATTTCAGCTTGGTCACGATCTCAGGGTTGTAAGATAGAACTCCACATTGGGCTGTGCACTCACTGAGCATGGAGCACAGTGGCTGTCACAATCTTGGTCACGATCTCAGGGTTGTGAGACAGAGCTCCACATTGGGCTGTGCACTGGGCATGGAATTCCTTCTCCAACTGCCCTTCCTCCCCCGTAAAATTAAAAATTAAAATAAAAAAATAAACACACTTGTATTAGTCCTTATGTTTTGAAACTACACCATGGCATGGCAAGAGGTAGGAGAGGCAACATGACAAAGAAGGAACAGGCTTTGGACTAAAGTACTTGGTACACTGCCTGGCGTGTATTAGGTGCTCAGTAAATGTTGACTGATAGTTTTTCTCATCTATGAAATGGCTCTGGTTCTGTAAGTTGTGTTTTGAAAATAAACATATAGTGGAATTACTATGCTTTTTCCTCCTTAAGAAGAAGAGCTGCCCAGATAGGAATGTTGAATTTTTTAAGAGTCCAGTTTTAATACCTAGGCCAAAAATACCCAATATTTCCCTAAATGTTTCAAATATACTTTCAAAGTTAGTTTGTTCAAATCAGCAGCTAAACAAGGTCCAAACATTGCATTTGGTTGATGGTCTTTCTCTCTTTAAAATTTTCAATACTTTTTAATTTAAGGTAGTATATATCCTGAAAATTTCATAAACTTGAAGTGTACAGCTTGATGGATGGGTCACAAATTAAACTTCTCCTTATAACTATTCAGACCAAGAAATAAGCCATTGCCAGCTCCTCTGCAGCACCCTCTTCTTGGGGCCTTCCAGGCACTGACTACCTTTCTCCTCCCTCCTCCCTTAGCCTCTACCCCCTAACCATCTTGACTTGAGTAGAGCCCAGCACATGGCTTGAACTCAACAACTCTGTAAAAAGATCAAGACCTGAGCTGATAGCAAAAGTCAGACGCTGTAACTGACAGACCAACCTAGGTATCCATTTGACCTTTAACATCAGAAATTAGTTTTGCCCTTCTTTGAACTTAAGAGAAATGAAATCATGTAGTACATCTATTTTTTTTTTTAAGTTTATTTAAATAAGCTCTACACCCAGCATGGGGCTGGAACTCACGACCTCAAGATTTTTTCAGCTGAACCAGCCCATCGCCCCAGTGCACATTCTTTTATGTCTGGCTTTTTTTACTCATCATCACTATGTATAATTTAATGTGGTACTAATACATTCCTTTTCATTGCTGTATGGTATTCCAGTGTAAGACTAGC